ATTACATGTGCAAATTAATTCGCGAATGTTGCTTTATATATTCATGTTGTTCAGTTGTAGTTACCAGAATATATTTAACATACTAATTGACAGCCTTTCAAATAGTCTTTCGCTACTGTTATCTGCCGAGCTGTCAGAATATAATTCAATGCATAGGTATAATTTTTGTATATTTATTCAACGTACATGTATACCGTTTTTGCCTTGGAATTGTTTTTTTTGAACGACCGTGCACATTTTTTAAACACTATTTTTACCGAGAAAGTGTCAACAAACACCCTTTAATACTCTTTCTATTTAAAATTATTTTTACCCAAGGGGTCGAAGCACATTCTTAAATCATTTTTAATGAACGCTTTAAAAAGCGTTAAAGTGCACCAAATATGGGAGCTAATGAACGCTTAATGAACGCTTTAAAAAGCGTTAAAGTGCACCATATTCACGAATATGGAACACTAGACAATAGACAAGACATTTGGGAACAAACAAAAAAATCGTCGTCCCTTATCACAGCCCTTCGATCATGGTATTACATCGAACACACGATTAAATGGAAATTCAAGATATAATTATTTTCATAAGAAGAAGATATTTAATTGTTGGTTACACAATATTACACGTTTGAATCGAAATCAAATAAAGAACAGAATAATTACAAATCCATGTACGAAACTCTGCATTAACACGTTCGCTATGTGCCATTTCCAAGGCGCCCTAATAATAAATACACGCCGCCAGAAAAAAAGTGTTACCCAATCGCTTTCTAATTGCGTATGGATATTACAGGCAGGTAAATTAACAAAAACTGGCGAAACGAATAAGTAAGATAAATTAACGGAAACGCGATTACCGCGTCTCTGGAATTCGCTCGACCGACGAGTCATCGCGTGCCCGGTTCCCAAGTCATTCGTAACCGTTTCACCGTTATTAATCTATCGATTTCGTGAAAATAGCACGATTCCATATCGGGCGACCGCGTTCCGTATTCGTCCACTTCTCCCTATCATTGAGGAATTATCTCTATCGGAGGAGCGATCTTGCTCGCGAGATTTTCGTGGCGATTTAAAGATTTTCGTAAGAGATCAACGCGGAAATCACCCGATGGTTACTATAACCGTTTGCGTACCACGAGCCACTTTTGCGCTCTTCAGATTTTGCGTCGAGAAAAGCCAGGGCATTTGGCCGAAACAGACGACTTACGGCCCACCCGAAATTTGTCGAAACGTGCTCGGTCTTTCGGACGCATGTGTACGCCGCGCGTCGCATCGCTGTCAGTAATCCAATTTGCATTTTGTTGTTACCTATTCTAAATTAATAGTATATATATGTTTTCATTCGTAACGTTTTATTTTATGTTTCACGGCTTTTTTCGACACGTAATCGAAGGAGCGCTATTGCGCTCTTCGGCGCTTTT